ATATATATACACATTTAAAAATCTGACCAGTTAAATTAGCATTTTCCCCTAACTCTCGAAGCAGAAACCTTTATAGACTTTACAATCTTTTGCTTAGGTGCGGCCTTTGCAGGAGCCTTAGCAGCAGCCATTACTGTCTTTTTAGATGCTTGCTTAGCCTTTTTTTGCTTCTTTGGCAATCCTGAGAGCTTGTTCTCACTGAGCCTCTCTAATTTCATGTTTTGGGTTCCTGTTGGCCATGATACCAGCAAGAGATGCTCTGGTGATAACCCTCTGGAATTTGACTGCAAGGCGGGTTCTTTTCTTTTGAATTTCTTCCTGTTCCTTTTTGTGCTTTCTTCTGAAGAATATAGTCCAGTTTATCTGCTGTAAATTCCCCTCAGAAAGGAATGCTGACTCACATTTTGCATTAAGAAATTGGACATTCTTCTCCTTCACCCTGGCTTACTGCCTCACACATCTGGGGTAGATCTATTACCTACTGAAACTGCACAGCTTGACCTTCATGGCAGTGGCTCCTGGGGAAGAGGAAAGATGGCAAAGCTCTCCCTATAGCTTTAGTGTTGTGAAATGCAACTCTATTCCAACAAGATGGAACAGAGGAAGGTGAAATCTCACCTACTTCTTTACTTAGTCCTTTTTAGTCTTCCAGGTGTCACTTTGTGCGAACATTACAGCAATCCTATACTATTTCTCTTTAGGGTGATCTTCACCTGGTCATGAGAAATATACCCTCCTCCTTGACCTGATGAACTCTAGGAGACTACTGTGTGCAGAGTCTCTCTTAGAACTTACCTAGCCATACCTGGTCAGACTTTCTCTTCTCTTAGATTTGCCAGGTCTAAGATACCAGTGTACTGGCTTGTCAACTGCAGGAAACACATGCCACCCTTGAAAGAACTAATAAGACCTTCTCACTGGACTCAGCTAGTAAGCACCCCTGACTTTACCCTTTTCTTTTCTGAGGGAAACCCTGTCTTCAACTTCTATAGTTTCCTTAACTCATTTTTATCTATCACACTTGATTATATACCTTGTCCTTCGATGTAGATGAGAATTCTAAAAGTCATCTAACTAGTTCTTGCCTGTCTACATTTGCATGTTCCACTAGTGTGTGGACCAGATACGGTGACTGAAAAATGAATGGGAAGGAAAGGAAATGAAAGTGGGGGGGTGGGGAGAAATATTCTTTTTTAATGTTAGTAAGTAAATGAAGAAAAAGATTAGGCAGTTTTTGAAGGTCATACAGCAGGGTAGTGTCAAGAGATGGGTATTCTATGAAGGTAGTAAAGTCCATATTTGTAGACAGTTACGATATAACTAGTGGAGAAATATTTAAACTGAAAAGTAAAAGGAAGCAACTAATTGAACAAAGTTCAGAAAGAAGAAGAGGAAGAGGAAAAAGCTTAGTAAGGGGATCCTATTAAGAATAGGCAATATGTTTTTATTATTTATTTATTTATTTATTTTGGAGAGGTTTTTGCTATAGGGCACGTGCACTTGCCAGACAGACAGAGAGAGACAGAGAGACAGAAAGCGAGAAATCACCCCCCAGGGGGGATGGCCACGCCGCAATTCCTTCTCCTCCATTCTCCTCCCGGGATCTTGTGCACGCACGCACGCACACGCGCCCGGTGTGAGTCTTAAGCCACTGGGTCCCGGACACAAACTGCGGTCAATTACGTGGGAGTCCAGCGACATAGCCATTACGCTAACTGCTGGTTCCACATGATTTTATTTTTAATGATACATTGGTTCTGTTTAAGACTAGATAAAAATTGAGAGTGTGTGACAATGGAGACAAATAAGAGGAGGGAAAAAGACAATCTAGAGATAATTATGCCTGTTTCTATTTTATCTACGAAGCAAAGGGCTAGACAATCTGCAAGGGCAGGGGCAGGAAGTTGAAATGAAAGAACTGGCAATAATTTAAAGGAGGAGAGAGAGTGAGATGCTGAGCAATACACAGATGGTCTTTTTTCAAGTCCCCACAGGCTTAAGGCACAAGCTGAGTGATCATCCCTGGGGCTGACCTATGGTTCAGAAGAAAGAAGGGACCTCAGTAACAAGCAAGTTACTCAAAAGAGTCAGGGTTTGGGGCCAGCCCTGGGAAGAGTAAGAGAGATTGGCAGAACAAAAATGGGTTTGGGGCCAGCTATGGTAGCACGGCAGTGATACAATGCTCCACAATGCCAAAGCCATACGGACGATCAGGGGTCAGTGTCCAGGTCCACCTATGCACACTAGCATGCACCAGACTGTCATGATCCTGGTCAATGAAGCTAGAGGTACCGGGGAGATCATGGCTTTAGACCTGGTTGGGAATGCCTGTCTTTCTGTGTGTGTGTTTCTCTCAAGGAAAAAACAAACATTTAAAAAATGGGTAAGACTGTATCGCAAAATGTCATTAATGGGCATGGGTGTTCCAAGGAGGACAGTTCATTGAGGAAGATGCTTATGTCTTGGACACTAAGTGCGGTCAGAAAATCTAAAGGCAGGAGTAAAACAAATCAATCTCAGAGTTCTAATGGGGGAGTCTGTAGAATGTTCTTTCAATAGAAATTATGTACAGGAGGTAGTATGTACAGTATCTGGCTCTAATTTACTATCAGAATCCTGACAGTAGTTTCCTTAAACATTTATAGTATGATGTGCTTTTTATACTGACTCAGAGTGATTTAGTCTTTGTAGAAAGAGAAGTCGTGCTCTCTAACTACCAAGATAACATTTCTATGTAAATAGAAGTGAAACAGGAAAAAAAAAACTTATTTTAACAAATAGTTTCAATGACCTTTCTAAAGTTTTTAAAATCAAAATAATTTTTTAAAAAAATAGTTGAACTAGTATGACCTCTTTCTCAAGAGCTCTGTCCACACTCTAATGGAGGTGTTAATGAGGACTATAAGAGTTAAAAGGCTGGCAGCAGGGGAAAATGAACTTAAAAGAACCCAGATAATCTCAACCCCTTGAATAATTAGCAATTAAATTTATAAACACACACACATACACACTTTGAGAGACTGATTTCACCATGTCTTTTCATGAATATTTTAGTTGCAACACCAAAGAATTCAGAGTCTGAACCCTAAACAAGACATTGGGTCGGTCATCAGAAGTCATGATACATTTTCGCAGAGGAAAACAGAAAAATACGTCATGACTTTTCCAACAACCCAATATTCATTTGACCAAACACACACACACACACACACACACACAGAATTGGAATTACAGCACATTTTCAATACAGTAATGAAAACAGCTGAGTGAAGGTAAATGCCCACAGATCTGCGGCAAGTAACTAGCAGAAACTTAGCGACAGTGTGACTTTGCCCCAGCCACCACTGTGGAAGCACGAAAGCACTGCTGCGACCCGACTGAGGCCACACAGGAGGCTCAGGTGCAGCTCTCAGCTCAATCTCAGCAGGCTGGGCTCCGTGGCACATGTCAGACGTCCTAGGTGGCTGGGAGGATGGATCAGAAGGTTTGGGATGTGGTGAGACCCTGTCAAAAATATTCTTTCCCTCTCTTCTATGGTCCTGCTCCTGTTCTCAAAAAAAAAAAAAAAAAAAAAACCCAAAATGTAACTTTGAAAAGTGATTGATTTTTTTCTCCAAATGTACTTTACAGAGTGAAAAAAAAAAATGTATCGTCTCATGAAATACAAACAGATGTTTTTCATCTGCCAGTCTTTGGACATAAATTAGGAAGGCAAGGGAAACATAAATATATGCAGTCAACTAATAAAATTTTAAAAAAACAATAAATTCAGGAGCCATATAGGACACAGTGCATATGCACATACATGTGCGTGTACACACACACACACACACACACACACGTTACCTGTTGTAGTCCATACATAAATATATGTACGGGCTTGTTTTCTTCTACAAACACCTCTATCTTTTTTTTGAGAAATTTTTTTGCTGTGGGGTGCAAGTGCTCACTAGAGAGACAAGGAGACAGAAAGCCAGAAATCACCCCCCAAAGGGGATAGCCATACTACAATCCTTTCTTCTCCAATCCCCTCTCAGGATTTTGGGCACATATGTACAAGTGCCCAGCATGAGTTTTAAACCACTTGGTCTTGGACTCAAACCACAGTTGGCTAGGTGAGAGTCCAGCGACATCAACATTACACCACCTGGTGGTCCCAATACCTCTTTATATTATTTCATATCTAGACTGAAAGCTTTTTGAAGGAAAAAGGATTTTATCTCATTCAATATTCCAAGATTCCAGTGTAGGATTCCTTAATCAATACATAGCAACCCACTCTGGGAACTATTCTAAGATTAACATTATGTTTAGTAAGTACAGATGCCAAATTATTAAAAATACATAAATAATATTTTATAGAAGATACTGCTTTGAGATTATCAAAAGAAATTACTGTTAATAAAGAAAAAAGTTGCAAATGCAATTTAATTTGTGTTTGTTTTAGATGGAAAGTGTGTGCTCTAGCTATAAAGAAGCAGAGAGACAGAGACAGAGAGAAAAAAAGAAAAAGAGCACTCTCCTAGTGGGGAGTGGTCACATCACTATCCCATCTCTCCCATTTCTCCATCCCATTAGGATTTGGGGAACTCATGCACATGAACCTGTTTTTTGTCTGTTTATTTTTTGGAGAGATTTTTTTCTGTAGGGTGTGTGCACTCCCTGGAGAGTCAAAGAGAGACAGAAAGCAAGAACTTACACCCCACAAGGGTGGCAATACTGCACTCTCTTCTCTTCTATTCTCCTCTTGGGATTTTGGCCATGCATACACCCATGCCCAGCTGAGTTTCAAGCCTCTGGGTTCAGGACTCAAACCATGGCTGACCACATGGGAGTCCAGCAATGTAATCTTTAACACCATCTGCTGACCCTGAAATCTGGTGTGTTTTTAAGCTGCTGGGGCCTGTATCTTAACCATGGTTGGACATACAGAATTTGACTCTTAACCAGGAGGTCACAGCCCAATTAAAGGTTTAATTGTTAAGTTTTATAAAGATTACCTTCCAGTTTGAGGATCAAATCCAAAGTACTGGTCTTCACACTTGTTACAACTTTGCCCAGCAGTGGAGGCATCCTGGCAAGCACACTGGCCAGTTAGGTTGTCACAGATGTGACTCACAGCTCCAGTCGGATGGCACGAACATGGCAGGCAGTCAGTGGTATTAACTGGAGAAATATAGAAACCTGGAAATAAAGAAATGAAAAGTTTTTATATATACTTTTTACCCACTCTTTTAAAGATACTATTTTGATTACTTAGAAAATTAGAATCTCTGTTGTGACACTACCTAATTACTAGTACAGAGGTTATAGCTATTCATAACTGGTGTAACAATTCTAATCAAAGAAAGGCTAAGGAAATAATTTACACTGTGTTTGGGTACCTCTACAGCATCTAAAATATAGTGCATTTAAAACCTAATTCATGGAGCCAGCAGGTGGCATCATGGTTAAGAGGCTGGACTCTCCCATGGCCAACGGCAGTTTGGGTCCCAGCCAGGTGACTTAAAAATCACGCCAGGCATGCGTGTATGGTTGCCCAAAATCCCAAGAGTAGAATGGACAAGAAGAAATTGCAGCATGGCCATTCCCCCTGGGGGGTGATTTCTTATTTTCTCTCTCTCTGTCTCTGACAAGCACAAATACCCTACAGCAAAACCTGAAAGAAAAAAAAAAAAAAAGAAAGGAAAGAAAATCTAATTCCTGACCTTGCCTGTAAATTAGGTGACCTCTATTCATCTTCATTTCAGCACACAGTACCAACCATCTATTCCACTGCTCAACTTAGAACCCTGAAACATCTCTGAAGAGTAGGCAAATGAAAGACAAGGTGCTCAGTTACACTTGAATTTCAGATAGGCAATGACGTTTTCAGTAATAGCATGCATCAGACAATACTTTATATGAATTATGCCTACATACAAAATACGATCATTACCTGAAACTCAAATTTAATTGATTTCATATTCATCCTGAATTGTGTTAAACTGGTATCTTTCATGCCCTCTACTTCCCTTACCTCCTTCATTTTCCTAATTATCAAGCCCATGAGTACTGCCTTGTATGAATTGTAAACTCTTTATTCTCCCATTCTCCATAACCACTTCTACCTCGCTAATTAAAATCACCACCAACTTTTTCATAGCAGACACTGTGTACCAGAAGCTACCAAAGGGTTTTATAGTCATTCTCTCATTTAGTCCTCCCAGCAAAGCAAATAATGCAGGCATTATTGTTACGCCCATTATGAAGGTTAGGAAGGCCAACAAACTCCTAAAACGACAGAGTTCACAGCAGAGCCTAAGTGCGAACACAGACTACCCAACTCCAGGGGCTCTCATCTAATGGTGTCCCCTTTGCCCCCTCCAGTTTAGTCTTTATAGGGTAGCTGGAACAACCTTTTTTTCAAGTGTAGTTTGTACATCCCATTCCTCTGGTTAAAGCTGTCTGATGACTTCCTTTTCTCTTTAGGAAACCATCAAAATCCCTAACAGTTTCTAATCCTTCAGTTAGGTCCCACCTACCACTCTAAATTTCAGCTCCCAGTTCATCCTCAGCTAAGTCCAACCCAGTCATATTTCTTGAGACCCAAAGGTTTTTCCACAAGCTGTTTTACCTGCTGAATGATTTTGACCCATTTCTTGCACATAATTCACTCTTAACGTTTTTGTGACTTTCAAGTAACTTTCCCTAAACCTGCTGTAATTTCATACCACCCTGTTTATTTTCTTGAAAGCTTGTAGAAATTGTAAACAATCTCTTTCTACCAAATATAACCTCCCTGAGGGCAGGAATCTTATCCGTTTAACTCATTTCTGTATCACTAGTACCAGGTAGAGTGCTGGGCGCATTGCAGGTACTCCACACACATTTCATGAACACATCAAATTTAACAAATGATTAAATAGCCAGGAGTCCTGCAGGAACATATAAGCACACACACACACACACACACACACATGCACACACACACAGAATTTAGACATTTTAGATTAAATCATATTATTTTCTTATTACAAAAATAAACACAAATTTAAAAAGGTCGGTCGGTCAGTCGGTCTGTCTGTCTATCTATCTATCTATCTATCTATCTATCTATCTATCTATCTATATCTCAAAAGGAATTTGGGCCAGCAGGTGGCGTGGAGGTTAAGGCACTGGATTCCATATGGCCGACTCGGTAGTTTGAGTCCTGGACCTAAAGGCTTGAAAATCACTCAGGGCACATATACATCCCTGCCCCAAATCCCAAGAGGAGATTAGAGCAGAGAAGAAGGGATTACAGCATGACCCTTCTTCTGGGAGATGATGCTCACTGACCTGCTTGCTCACACTACCTCTCTCTTCCCCTCACTTTGTGGTGAGCACACATGCCCCATAGCAGAGCAAAATAAAACAAAACAGTAAAATGGAATTCAAGTTCCTAAAATCTCTTGGACTCAAAAGGTGGATGTCAACATGTAAGCAGAGTAGGCTCTAACAACAGCTGTTGTGTTGATTTTGTAGGAAGCAAGCCCTATGACACAAGTTATCTTAAGTTGTTTTGCAGGGAGCTTGACAAAACAAAAACTATGAGCTCCTACCAACCTGAACTGGTTAAGGCTAGGAGAGGCCAAGGAGAAACTGACCCTCACTGAACCCTAATGAACGTTTGCTCCTTATACTAAAATACCTGCCAGAGGAGGAGCCCATTTACATAATGTGAGATGCATAGAGCATGACCAGCCACACAGCTTGCACCTACAAGAATCTACCTTGGCATGCTTGACCCCAAGCCATGTCCACCTTTCCCAAATAAAAGCTGCCTAATGTCTCATGACTCAGGGAGACACATATTTGGGAACAATCTTTAGTGTCTTCATTCCTGTCATGTTGTAATAAAGCTTCCTTCATGCAAATTGAGTTAGTGTAGTCTATTAGTCCGACTCCTAACGAGTGGAGACTCTCTTTTGGGTCACTTACAACCAGTTATAAAATTAGAAAGGTACTGGCCATTTGAATGATGGAGCAAACATCTGAGGGAGATGTGGCACTCGGTTTTGTGTAACGTATGTGTGCATACATGTATATGTTATGTACTTACACATGCACGCATCTGAGGGAGATGTGGCACTTGGTTTTGTGTAATGTATGTGTGCGTACATGTATATGTTATGTACTTACACATGCACACATATGTTGATACATACACAAGCACATGCAAAAGGCTACATAAAATTTTGTTGAAACTTGGGAGAGAGGAATCACAGAAGGATTCTAATGAGTAAAGTTATGGCAAAGGAAAGTGAGTCGCACAAATGTCGGGGTAGCTCATTTCAAGTAAATAAAGTATCAGTGATAGTTAAAAAATGATAGCCTGCGTACAAAATGAATCCATTCTGTCACCTATCCTATGGGGAAAAACCAAATGTAATTGGGATTTTCTAGACTCATTTGAGGGTCTAGTCGAAAATAAGCTATTCTTTCCTACTCACCAATAATTAGTGTGTTTTCCTTCTCCTAGGCCCTGCATATTCTGACATTGCTCAGAGAGGAAAAGGAAGGAGCTCAAAACCTGTGCCATTCAGCTGGAAGCAGCTGACTATCAATACTGTCATTTTTTACTGAAAATGTATTGCTAGGTTATGTTATTTGTTTCTTTGCATCCCCTTATAGCAGTTTGAGATTGAGATATGTGTGTGTGTGTGTGTGTGTATTCATTCCAGAGTAGAGTATGTGTATATGTATGTATATGTGTGTGTGTGTATGTGTGTGTATGTATGTGTTTCATGAATTCCAGAGCAGAGTAGGGCCATACCAATTAATATATATTCTCATACTTCATTCATCATCTGATCAAACTCAGATTCAGAAGGCTTCTATGTCGGATTCAAGACCACTATGGTCATGATTCTTTGCATCTTTTTTTTTTTTTTCATGAAGGTAACTAGGTCCTTAACTTCATGATGATGGCATCATGCATGCACTGACAGCTTTCCAATTTGGATAAATTACCCACCGGCATAGATACTTATACATAGAATTAATTTGTTTCAATAGCTACTGTTTCAATAGCTTCGAGCTACAGAGAATTCTGGAACAACGAAGGCTGATTTTTAAAAGAAATGATTTATTAGATAAATCTGTAAATACGAGAGTGGAAGAATACATTTTAGTACAGAACATTGGGTAATCCAGTTTGGGAAGAGTAAAGAATGTCACAGAAAAATCAGAAATCGAAGCAGATAACAAAAAAGAACTTAGAGCACAAAGGGCATCTGAAGTGTAGATAGACTACAAGGCACAGACAACATAGGAATTTGCCTTGAGGCTAATTCTCCTCCTCCTCTTAGGGCATGATTATAAAGGTTAATCCCACCAGTATTTTAGTTGTCCTATTTTTAAGCAGTTCTAATTAGGATGACTCAGGTAACTTCCTGCTCAAAGATTACTTCTTACCTTACCTGAATGTGCCTAATTCTAGACCATTACCTCTTCTTTTATGACTTCCAACCATAGAAAACAACATTTTCCCTTCCCTCCTGCTTAAACCTTCGCTCCAGAGTGTAGCTTAAAGATAACTGACCTTAATTTCTTTTAACTCAATCCATTTCTGATTCGTCTCCATTAGCTTCACTTCATGTTCCACTTCTTTGTATCGTTTTAACGAATCTTTTAGAGATTTCTTTCCATGGATGATTCTGTACCACATTCTTAAGCGTGGTCATTAGGACAACATTATTACCTGGCATTATATAGTGCTCAGAGTTCACACGAATAGAGCACAAATCACACTGCTCCAGTTTATTATTTTCCCTAGTTTTATTTCAGCTAACCCCTGGTCCCAAATGAGACGAGTCTCAAGTGGAAAACAATGCATCATCCGGCTACAGCAAAGAGTCACCCATATCATAAAATAGTGTTGTTTTATGTGGAAGAAGGCCTACAGAATTCATAGAGTTCAAAGTTATTAGCAAGGCAGCTGGTATTATCTCCTGTCGTGGCTATTTGCACAACACAGTACCTGTCCTGGGCATAAAGAAGAGCCCATTTCCTAGCAATGTCCCTCCTGAGAACCATGAACAACTAGGCTTTTCCAAGGTCTCGAAATGGGAGAATGAAAACAAGTTTAACCTCTAGGCCTTATTCAGAAAAGGAGGGCAATGCTGGGGCTAAGCACTAATTATAAGCCATTTAGAAGAACA